ACAGAAAAAGGCTATCGACCCAATCGGTCTTTCTGCCCGGCTTTTTTATTTATCGACAAATTTAACAAATGTTTTTCCTTTAGACCGAAACCTACAGATGACAAATACGTCTTAATACCAACGTTAAGTCACGACAAAGCAAACCAAACTGATGAAATTCAAGATGCTATTAATGCAATCAATTCACTAAGCCCATCTTCTACTAATCATCCATTGACTACGTTGTAAGTGCTTTAGGACGCTGTTGATTTATAAACTTTGCTAATACCGATGTATAAATTTAGCTCATTTGTAAGCTCCAGTGCTGCACCAACTAGAAAGCAACCAACAACTTCAAGAAAGCCGCCATCAACTTCATACGTATTCAGCACCACTATACCCCCACGAAGAACCGAGTCAACGACAGCGCGAAAACCCACACGAAAACCTGTAAAATCCACGTACAAACCCAATAGATACTCAACAACAACGCCAAAACCTCCCAGTACATCATACGTGTACAGCAGCACCTTTAAACCGACACCTCGACCAAATTCTGCCATTTCAACAAGTAGCTCTAAACCTCCGTCAACTAGCTACGTTTACAGCTCAACATTTAAGCCTACAAAAGCTCCCAGGCCTCCCAGCACTTCCTATTTGGACAGTTCGACCTTTAGACCAAGTACTTTGGCACATTCTACATTCGCAAACTCACCAGAAGCTTTTCCTGAGTCGCAAAGCACACCGTCGTATTTGTATTCCTCAAGTTCCTCAAGTTCTTCATACTTGCCTTCAACTATGACTTCCAATATAGTAGGACCTGGATTTACCGTAACATCAGAACCAGTTGGCCAATATTCGCCTTTTCCAAGTCCTGCTCCTACGGTGATTGTCTTAGGACCGGTGAGTGATGAAAAAGATGATGTGCAGCTAATTGCTACCTCCAGTGGAAAACCCATTGGTCAAGGCCCTAATTACGAAAGCAGCACTACCACCACTAATAGACCTGCACAATCGGGTTCTTTCCCTCAGCGGAAGCCCATAAACCATGTTACTATTAACAATCATGTTACCCAGAATATCTACAGCACTCAAAGACCTCAGACTAGTAGCAGCCAAAACTTACCATCACCAACAGTGATTATTACTCCCAAGCCCACCATTTCTTCCTCATCATCCCCTATTCAAGAAGAAGACTTGGAAAGTGTGGTAGTAACATCGCCTAACGACCAAATCAACTTCCCACCGGACCGCAATCCGAACCTCAACATTTCCCATCCAGTGTTCAGCGATGAAGACATCACAACCCCAACTTTGATTGAAGATGAAGCGATGAATGAGAAAGTGGAATTATTCGTTAACCAAATAATTTACGGCTTACAAGAACCATTCAACGATCTGAATGACATTGTTTATAACAAGCCATCGAACGCAACAGCGCGTCCTACAGTTAACAGCTTGACTACGAAGAAGCCGGTGAAAAAACAAGGCACCACCACAAAGAAACCTTCGTCCAAGCCGAGCAATGTCAAGACTACTACCAGAAGGCCGGTTAGTACACGAAGACCTGCTATTTCCATAAGCGCAGCCAGCACTACCACAAAGAGACCGAATACGACCAAAAAAGTTGCTACTACTTTATCGAGCTACATAGAAACAGAGACGGACCCGGAAACGCAGCAGAGTTATCGGGATCGTAAGTACACTGTTTTCTAATTTTCTCCTGTTTAAATTCGCATTTAAATTAAGTCCTCTGAAGTTGATTTTGATCATAAATTGCCATATTACTAGTTTCTCGAACAGCGAAAGAACAGTCTTGACAGACTACCACTTTGCTTATTATACAAATTAACTTTATATCTGTTTTAAAAATAAAATCTTCAAATTTGTTCTGCTGGTTTTATTTGTCGCAAACTTATAAATCATTATCATAGAAATCCGATCATTCTCTCAGCTTTGATTTGACGTTGCACCTTACAAACATTGAATATTATAAGTGCATGTAAAGTTTAATTTGCAAATCCTCCAGATTTTAAGGAAGCTTAAAAATATCAGTGAATGCCAATTCAGTCAAGTTGTTTCTTACGGGTTTCAATAGCCGTCATAAGTATGGATCTCAATTAACTGGTTGTATACATGCTGCCTAACAATATTTAAAGGCCCATATTAAATTTTAATTTTAATTTTATAAAGTCTCAGGTAGATTTACCGTGAAAAATTACATTCAGTACATTTTTAATACTCTAGAGAATAAGTAAAAACCAGACAAAACATATTTTTCAATAATATTAAGAGTGCGAATTGAATGATAATAATGCCACAGGAGAACACTTCGCTTCATCGAAAATTACAGGTTTGAGGTAAAAAATTTACGAAACGTGAACACGAATTGAAATTTTATCCATGTTAGAATTAATCGACTACAATGCAATCAATGATTATTATTTTCGATCATAAATAACTCTTTGCAACAAAATAAATTTTCAACAATTTGTTAAAATATAAATAATGAATGTTGTTTGTTTGCTGAATTTTAAAGATATTTCTGAAGAAGAAAAAATATTTTTTGTAAATAATTGTTTACACTGTGAAGAAACATCAATCTACATATTTATGAAAATATAAGTACATTATGTTAAGCTTTTGCACAGTTGGTCAAAAATAAGATTTATGGTCTGAAAATGTTTACTCATCCAAGGAGTCAAGTTACGTACAATCTACCCAATGGTTGCATTGGTTGCATTCATCAGGTTAAAATAGCGTGCAGTTTAAAAACATTCATGTTATCAGAACTGCAAGAACCTAACTGCCATAAAAAAACCATAATGTACCCTAACGTAGTAACTTAAAATAAAAAGCGTAAATATTTTGTATTTATCTTTTTCTATCTGATGTTGTATGTCCTTTTTGTGTACTTATTTTATTGAGTATTTATTTAAATAAAACCGTAAATATTAAGTTAAGTTCTAATTTTGAAAACTGCGTTAAAATCGGGAATGCCAAACCAACATAAAGAAAGCAATATAAAACGAAAGCTCACAATTTTGTAGTAAATAATAATTTGAGTTCAAAATTGCATCTGTAACAAAATGAAAATCATAAAAGTAAACATCAAGTAATTCAGAAAATATAAAAAGAAAATTGTAAATCATGGGGCTCACGAATTCTTACTTTCAGATTTTAATTTAATTTTAATTAGCTGTACTATACAAATGCAGTCAAAATTTAGTTTTTTAATTTTTACGCTGTCACATGTAATGTGAATGTCATGTGAATCGTTTCTCTACAACTCTTTTCGGCCCTCAATTTACCGCAAAAATGGTATGTAAAATGTATGTGCTTTATTCTAGTTTCTTTCCAAATCAAATAGTTTGTGCAAAAAGTCACTTACATTCCAAAGAAAATATTGTCTACCTTTTTCAACTTGAAAAAACTTAATTTTAATTAATTAAAAGAACTAACTAAAAAGTGAAATCACTAACAAATGTATGAAACACACTTTCATTTCTGTATGTTTTCTCATCATTTTAAATCAATAGCTTGACGTATTTTGTTTAATTTTCGCTGATTCTCATAAAAAAGCAACCATACTTGTCCCACTGCACAAAAATCTAGATATAAAATAAAGAGAATACAACTCCTAGATAAGAGAATTATCACGAACAAATGTTTTTTATCGAATACTAGAGATAATAGTAAGGTCGATGGAACACAATCTAAACTATTTTAAGCAAATGCAAAACTGTTGTACCTTTTACTTATACGGCTACTTTTAGAGCGTGCCATCAACGTTAAACGTAGTACGTTTCTATAAAATTATATTCCTTGAATGCTGTATGTCACAAACATTTAATATTTCAGGGTTAATGAGAAGGATCTAAAGCCATTTTCATCCTAGTATTTAGATGCAACATTTATCTTAATTTTGTTCAATGATTCATGTGTTTATGATACTTGAAACTTGTAAATATGCAACATCTAGTTTGTGTTTTTGTTGCATTATTTAGCTGCAGGCTTAAGTTCATGAAAATGCATTCATTGATATATTTATAATTAGAATGTGGAGTTAGACCTCTAGTAAGAGCAGGGCGAATAGTTGGAGGAAGAGGAGCAGTGTTTGGAGAATTTCCCTGGCAAGCTTTGGTGAGAGAATCGACGTGGCTGGGACTGTTCACCAAGAACAAATGCGGAGGTACGATCACCAAATATATCTTAACAGTAAATTATATCCCTCAAAAAATAAGCCGCATGTGAACCATGGCTTCCAGAAATTTTTTGTCAATATCCTGATTTGTGGGTGCTAAGAGCCTAAAGAATATAAATACCCTGATCGATTCAGCGAATGAAAATAAATAGTCCTTTCTTTCGATGGGTAAAAAAAGGAGATCTATTTGCTTCCAACCTTTGGAAACTAATCTAACTGCATTACCAATTGTGCTTTCAGGAGTGTTGATCAGCGATAAATACGTTATAACAGCGGCGCATTGCCAGCCAGGATTTCTGGCATCCTTAGTTGCAGTTTTCGGGGAATATGATATCTCCGGAGACCTGGAAACTCGGAAGCCAATTAGCAGGAATGTTAAAAGGGTGATTGTGCACAGGAAG